GGCACAGACACATGAACAAGGCACAGACACATGAACAAGACACAGACACATGAACAAGACACAGACACATGAACAAGACACAGACACAGACACATGAACAAGACAGACACAGACACATGAACAAGACAGACAGACACATGAACAAGACAGACAGACACATGAACAAGACACATGAACAAGACACATGAACAAGACACATGAACAAGACACATGAACAAGACACATGAACAAGACACATGAACAAGACACATGAACAAGACACATGAACAAGACACATGAACAAGACACATGAACAAGACACATGAACAAGACACATGAACAAGACACATGAACAAGACACATGAACAAGACACATGAACAAGACACAGACAGAGACATGAACAAGACACAGACAGACACATGAACAAGACACAGACAGAGACACATGAACAAGACACGGACAGAGACATGAACAAGACACGGACAGAGACATGAACAAGACACGGACAGAGACATGAACAAGACACAGCCAGACACATGAACAAGACACAGACAGAGACACATGGACAAGACACAGACAGACACATGAACAAGACACAGACAGAGACATGAACAAGACACAGACAGAGACATGAACAAGACACAGACAGAGACACATGAACAAGACACAGACAGAGACACATGAACAAGACACAGACAGAGACACATGAACAAGACACAGACAGAGACACATGAACAAGACACAGACAGAGACATGAACAAGACACAGACAGAGACACATGAACAAGACACAGACAGAGACACATGAACAAGACACAGACAGAGACACATGAACAAGACACAGACAGAGACACATGAACAAGACACAGACAGAGACACATGAACAAGACACAGACAGAGACACATGAACAAGACACAGACAGAGACACATGAACAAGACACGGACAGAGACACATGAACAAGACACGGACAGAGACACATGAACAAGACACGGACAGAGACATGAACAAGACACAGCCAGACACATGAACAAGACACAGACGTATGAACAAGAGAGACGGACACATGAACAAGACACAGACAGGGACACACACACAGACACATGAACAAGACACACACACACAGACACATGAAGAAGACACGGATACAAGACACACACACAGACACATGAACAAGACAGACAGACACATGAACAAGACACGGATACAAGACACACACACAGACACATGAACAAGACACGGATACAAGACACACACACAGACACATGAACAAGACACGGATGCAAGACACACACAGACACATGAACAAGACACGGATACAAGACACACACAGACACATGAACAAGACACGGATACAAGACACACACAGACACATGAAGAAGACACGGATACAAGACACACACACAGACACATGAACAAGACACAGATACAAGACACACACAGACACATGAACAAGACACGGATACAAGACACACACAGTCACATGAACAAGACATGGATACAAGACACACACACAGACACATGAACAAGACACGGATACAAGACACACACACAGACACATGAACAAGACACGGATACAAGACACACACACAGACACATGAACAAGACACGGATACAAGACACACACACAGACACATGAACAAGACACGGATACAAGACACACACAGACACATGAACAAGACACGGATACAAGACACACACAGACACATGACAAGACACGGATACAGACACACACAGACACATGAAGCACAGATACAAGACACATGAACAAGACACGGATACAAGACACACACACAGACACATGAACAAGACAGACAGACACATGAACAAGACACGGATACAAGACACACACACAGACACATGAACAAGACACGGATACAAGACACACACACAGACACATGAACAAGACACGGATACAAGACACACACACAGACACATGAACAAGACAGACAGACACATGAACAAGACACGGATACAAGACACACACACACAGACACATGAACAAGACACGGATACAAGACACACACACAGACACATGAAGAAGACACACACAGACACATGAACAAGACACGGATGCAAGACACACACAGACACATGAACAAGACACACACAGACACATGAACAAGACACGGATACAAGACACACACACAGACACATGAACAAGACACGGATACAAGACACACACACAGACACATGAACAAGACACGGATACAAGACACATGAACAAGACACGGATACAAGACACACACACAGACACATGAACAAGACACGGATACAAGACACACACACACAGACACATGAACAAGACACGGATACAAGACACACACACAGACACATGAACAAGACACACACAGACACATGAACAAGACACACACAGACACATGAACAAGACACAGATACAAGACACACACACAGACACATGAACAAGACACGGATACAAGACACACACACACAGACACATGAACAACACACGGATACATACAAGACACACACACACAGACACATGAACAAGACACGGATACAAGACACACACAGACACATGAACAAGACACGGATACAAGACACACACACAGACACATGAACAAGACAGACAGACACATGAACAAGACACGGATACAAGACACACACACAGACACATGAACAAGACACGGATACAAGACACACACACAGACACATGAACAAGACACACACAGACACATGAACAAGACACGGATGCAAGACACACACAGACACATGAACAAGACACGGATACATGAACAAGACACACACAGACACATGAACAAGACACGGATACAAGACACACACACAGACACATGAACAAGACACGGATGCAAGACACACACAGACACATGAACAAGACACACACAGACACATGAACAAGACACGGATACAAGACACACACACAGACACATGAACAAGACACGGATACAAGACACACACACAGACACATGAACAAGACACGGATACAAGACACATGAACAAGACACGGATACAAGACACACACACAGACACATGAACAGACACGGATACAAGACACACACACCACAGACACATGAACAAGACACGGATACAAGACACACACACAGACACATGAACAAGACACACACAGACACATGAACAAGACACACACAGACACATGAACAAGACACAGATACAAGACACACACACAGACACATGAACAAGACACGGATACAAGACACACACACACAGACACATGAACAACACACGGATACAAGACACACACACACAGACACATGAACAAGACACGGATACAAGACACACACAGACACATGAACAAGACACGGATACAAGACACACACACAGACACATGAACAAGACAGACAGACACATGAACAAGACACGGATACAAGACACACACAGACACATGAACAAGACACGGATACAAGACACACACACAGACACATGAACAAGACACACACAGACACATGAACAAGACACGGATGCAAGACACACACAGACACATGAACAAGACACGGATACATGAACAAGACACACACAGACACATGAACAAGACACGGATACAAGACACACACACAGACACATGAACAAGACACGGATACAAGACACACACACAGACACATGAACAAGACACGGATACAAGACACATGAACAAGACACGGATACAAGACACACACACAGACACGTGAACAAGACACGGATACAAGACACACACACACAGACACATGAACAAGACACGGATACAAGACACACACACAGACACATGAACAAGACACACACAGACACATGAACAAGACACGGATACAAGACACACACACAGACACATGAACAAGACACGGATACGAGACACACACAGACACATGAACAAGACACGGATACAAGACACACACAGACACATGAACAAGACACACACACACAGACACATGAACAAGACACGGATACAAGACACACACACAGACACATGAACAAGACAGACAGACACATGAACAAGACACGGATACAAGACACACAGACAGACACATGAACAAGACACGGATACAAGACACACACAGACACATGAACAAGACAGACAGACACATGAACAAGACACGGATACAAGACACACACACAGACACATGAACAAGACACGGATACAAGACACACACACAGACACATGAACAAGACACACACAGACACATGAACAAGACACGGATGCAAGACACACACAGACACATGAACAAGACACGGATACAAGACACACACACAGACACATGAACAAGATACGGATACAAGACACACACAGACACATTAACAAGACATGGATACAAGACACACACACAGACACATGAACAAGACACACACAGACACATGAACAAGACACGGATACAAGACACAGACACATGAACAAGACACGGATACAAGACACACACACAAGACACATGAACAAGACACGGATACAAGACACACACAGACACATGAACAAGACATGGATACAAGACACACACAGACACATGAACAAGACACGGATACAAGACACACACACACAGACACATGAACAAGACACGGATACAAGACACACACACAGACACATGAACAAGACACACACACACAGACACATGAACAAGACACGGATACAAGACATACACACAGACACATGAACAAGACACACACACAGACACATGAACAAGACACGGATACAAGACACACACACACAGACACATGAACAAGACACACACATGAACAAGACACACACACAGACACATGAACAAGACACACACACACGGTTCAACACACGGGGGGGGTGGTGGTGGTGGGGTGATGGAGCGCGGCCTCTACATTCCCCACAGCGGATAAGCGCCCAAGGGGGCCCATCGGGGCGCGCCTGTCGGCGCCCGTTGGCCGCGAGCCCGTCACGTGCTCGCGGACGGGCCAATGGGCGCGGGGCTCCGTGTCGGCGCTCCCGCCCGCCTGTGACTGCGTGGGCCAATGGGCGCGGCGCGCCCGCCCATCCGCGCTGGGAAATGTAAGCGGGCTCCATCTTCCTCGTCGTCCTCACTGCTCCTCGTCGTCGTCGTCTCCTCTCATCATCATCATCATCCGCCTCTTCCCAATCATCCCCCTCGTCGTCGTCTTCGCCGTCGCGTTTGACATGGCGGACGCGGCGCGCAGCCCCGCGCCATGAGCTCCGCGAGCGGCCACACTGCTGCTGCTGCTGTTCACCTCGGCGGGAGCGCGAGAGCGGCGGCCGAGTGGGAGGGACGCGGGAGGCGACGCGGCGGAGCGGCGGTGAGCGGAGGATGCGCGGCTACGGGGTGGGGGGGTGGTTGGGGTCGTCCGGTTATTGTGGTGGTTGGTTGCTGCTGGTGGGGGTGGTTGGTTGGTGGTGGGTGGGGTGGTGTGGTTGGGGTGGTTTGTTGGTTGGTAGGTGGTGGTGGTGGGTGGGGGGGTGGTTGGTGGTGGTGGTGGGTGGGGTGGTGGGTGGGGTGTTTGGTGGTGGTGGTGGGGGTGGGTGGTGGTGGGGTGGTTGGTGGGGTGGTGGGTGGGGTGTGGGTGGTTGGTGGTGTTGGTGGGTGGTTGGTGGTGGTGGTGGGGTGTTGGGGTGGTGTGGGTGGTGGTGGGGTGGTTGTGGTGGTGGTGGGGGGGGGTTGGTGGTGGTGGTGGGGGTGGTGTGGTGTGGGTGGTGGTGTGGTGGGTGGTGGTGGTGGGTGGTGGGGGTGGGTGGTGGGGGGTGGTGGTGGGGGGGTGGTGGTGGTGGGGGTGGTGGGGTGGTGGGGTGGGGGGGGGGGGGTGTTGGTGGGGGTGGTGGGGGGTGTGGGGTGGTGGTGGGGGTGGTGGTGGTGTGGGGGGGTGGGTGGTGGGGGTGGTGGTGGGGTGGGGGGGGGGGGGGGGGTGGGGGTGGTGGGTGGGGGGGGGGTGGTGGGGTGTGGTGGTGGTGGTGGGGTGTTGGTGGGGGGGTGGTGTGGTGGGGGGGTGGGGGTGGTGGGTGGGGGTGGTGGTGTTGGGGGGGGTGGGGGGTGGTGGGGGTGGTGGGGTGGTTGGTGTGGTGGTGGGGGGTGGGGGGGGGGGTGGGGGGGGGTGGTGGGGGGGTGGTGGTGGTGGTGGTGGGGTGGTTGGTGGTGGTGGTGGGGGTGGTTGGTGGGGGGTGGTGGGGGTGGTGTGGTGGGTGGTGGTGGTGGGGTGGTTGGTGGTGGTGGTGGTGGGGTGTGGTTGGTGGGGTGGTGGTGGGGTGGTTGGTGGGTGGGGGGTGGGGTGGGTGGTGGTGGTGGTGGGGTGGGTTGGTGTGGGGGTGGGTGGGTGTGGGGGTGGATGGGGTGTGGTGTGTGGGGTGGTTGGGGTGGTGGTGGGTGGGGTGTTGGTGGGGTGGGGTGGGTGGGGTGGTGGTGGGTTGGGTGGATGGTTGTGGGGGGTGGGGTGGTGGGTGGGGTGGGGGGTGGGGTGGGTGGGTGGTTGGGGGGGGTGGGGTGGGTGGGGTGGTGGGTGGTGGGTGGGGTGGTTGGTGTGGTGGTGGGTGGGTGGTTGGTGTGGTGGTGGTGGGTGGGTTGGTGGGGTGGTGGGTGGGGTGGTTGGTGGTGGGTAGTGTGGGGGGTGGGTGGGGGTGTGGTGGGTGGGAGTGGTTGGTGGTGGTGGTGGGTGGAAGTGGTTGGTGGGTGGTGAGTGGGTGGTGGTGTGGGTTGGGGTGGTTGGGTGGTGGTGGTGGGTGGGTGGTTGGTGGGGGTGTGGTGGTTGGGGTGGTGGGGGGTGGGGTGGTGGTGGTGGTGGGGGCAGGGGGGTGGTGGGGGGGGGGGGGAGGGGTTGGGGTGGGGTGGGGGTGAGTGGTGGGGGTGGGGGGTGGGGGGTTGGGTGGTGGTGGGGGGGTGGAGTGGTGGGGGGGGTGGGTGGGGGGGTTGGGGGGTGGGGAGTGGGGGGGTGGTGGTGGGGGGTGGGTGGGTTGGTTGTGGTGGTGGTGGGTGGGTGGGGTGGTTGGTGGTGGGGTGGGTGGGTGTGGTGGTGGGTGGGGTGGGTGGTGGGGGGGGGGGGGGGGGGGTGGTGTTGTGGTGGTGGGTGGGGTTGGTTGGTGTGGTTGGTGGGGTGGAGGTGGTGGTGGTGGTGGGTGGGTGAGGTGGGTTGTGGTGGTTGGGTGGGGTGGTTGGTGGTGTGGGGGGGGGGGGGTGGGGTGTGGTGGGGGTGGGGGGGGGGGGTTGGTGGTGGTGGTGGGGTGGGAGGTGGTTGGGTTGGGGGTGGTGGTGGGGGAGGTGGTTGGTGTGGGTGAGGTGGTGGGTGGGGGGTGGGTTGGTTGTGGGTGAGGTGGGTGGTTGTGGGTGAGGTGGGTGGTGGTGGGTGGGGTGGTGGGTGGGGTGGTTGGTGGTGGCGGCTGGGGTAGTTGGTTGGTGGTGGTGGCTGGGGTAGTTGGTTGGTGGTGGTGGTGGCTGGGGTAGTTGGTTGGTGGTGGTAGTGGTGGCTGGGGTAGTTGGTTGGTGGTGGTAGTGGTGGCTGGGGTAGTTGGTTGGCGGTGGTAGTGGTGGCTGGGGTAGTTGGTTGGTGGTGGTGGCTGGGGTAGTTGGTTGGTGGTAGTGGTGGCTGGGGTAGTTGGTTGGTGGTGGTAGTGGTGGCTGGGGTAGTTGGTTGGCGGTGGTGGTGGTGGCTGGGGTAGTTGGTGGTGGCTGGGGTAGTTGGTTGGTGGTGGCTGGGGTAGTTGGTTGGTGGTGGCTGGGGTAGTTGGTGGGTGGTGGTGGTGGCTGGGGTAGTTGGTGGATGGTGGTGGTGGCTGGGGTAGTTGGGTGGTGGTGGTGGCTGGGGTAGTTGGTGAGTGGTGGTGGTGGCTGGGGTAGTTGGTGAGTGGTGGTGGTGGCTGGGGTAGTTGGTGAGTGGTGGTGGTTGCTGGGATAGTTGCGTGGTTGTGATGGTGGTGATGGCTGGGGTAGTTGGTTGCTGGTGGTGTTGGTTCTGGCTGGGGTAGTTGGTGGGTGGTGGTGGTGCAGGCTGTGTTAGTTGGGTGGTGGTGGCTCGGGTAGTTGGTTGGTGGTGGCTGGGGTAGTTGGTTGGTGGTGGTGTTGGTGGCTGCTGGGGTAGTTGGTTGGTGTAGTGGTGGTGGCTGGGGTAGTTGGTGGGTGGTGGTGGTGGAGGCTGGGGTAGTTGGTTGCTGGTGATTCCTGGTGTGGTGGTTGCTGATGATTGCTGTGGTGGGTGGGGTGGTTGCTGCTGGTGGTGGTAGGTGGGGGGTGGGTGCTGGTGATGGGGGTGCTGGTGGTGGGGTTGTTGGTGGGTGCTGGTGGTGGAAGTGTTGGTGGTGAGGGGTGGGGTGGTTGGTGGGGGTTTGGGTGGGGGAGGGGTGTTTGGTGGGGGTGGTGTGGGTCGGGTGGTTGCTGGTGGTGGGGGTGTTGGTGGTTGCTTGGTTGCCGGTGTTGGGTGTGGTGGTTGGAGGGGTGGTTGCTGGTGGTGGCTGGGGTGGTTAATGGGGTTGTGCCATTGTCCGGTTGTAGTTAATGATTCGGTGCTGTGGATACAATGTGGTTGACTGGGTTTCCCGGTTATTCTGGTTAATGGTGGATTTGGGCTGTCCAGTTATTGTGGTTACAAATGTCGTTAATTAAGTGGTTATGGTTAATGATGTGGGGTAGGCAGGTTATAGTGGTTAATGATGTTAATGTTGTGGTTAATTGGAAATTGTCGTTTAGGGGATAGTATGTTGGTTTTTTTTATATTGTGTTTGTGGTAACTAATGTGTTTTGTGGTTAATTGTATGTTTTTTGGTATAGTCCGTTTCTGTTGAATGATTAGGTTAGTGGTCTATTAAGTGGTTATCGTGGTAAATGATAAGATTGTTGTGGTTAATGATATGGGTCTGGAGTAGTCTGGTTATCATGTATTGATGTTGTGGTTACGGTTTTTGGGTTACAATGATTTTTGTTCGTGTGGTTAATGAGTGTGTAGGATGTGATTGTTGAGGGTAATGATGTGATTATGCGCTGGTGCATTCAGTCAGATGCATAATGTGGTTACGAGGTGGTTTGGTTATCCCAACTGGACATCTCTGAAAAAAAGCTTAATAGCTCAACGGTTTTTCTCCAGGAAAAAAAGATTACATTCGGATTCTGTTTTCATTCACGTAGTTAGATTTTAGTGTGGTTGTTTTGGTGTTTATTTGGTTCATGGGTGTTGGTGCGGCTATTGGGGTGAATAATACGGTATACGCATGGATTAGTGTGGCTTACGAGACAGGTCCCTCGAGAGCTCTCTGTGCGGCTGCACTGCTCTCCTGAAGGTGGGAGTGGGACCTGCCCGTACAAGAGCAGATGAGGCAAAATCGGTCAAAAACAATCTTAATTTCTCAATTGCGATTTACATGTAGCAATCATTGCCACCCACCCCCCTTTTATTTTGACAGATTGTGATGAGTCTCCTTGTGCCCACTGGGACAGCTGCCACAGGGGGTGCACTTGAAAAATATCTGAGATGTTATGTAAAAGGTTTTTGTGAAACCCCGCCTCCCCCGACATTATAGGGGGCTTTTTCAAAAAGAAAAGTGTTATCATCATTAACCTGGTCTGATCGTGCTGACTTTTATATCCTTAATTTTCGTGGTTTCGGTTCACCATTTGAACCGTCAGCACGAACCAATAACATAAACAAGGTAATGACCGAGTTTGAGTATCTGAACCGGTCCTGGATCGCCCCTTCACCAGCCCGCACGGACCAGCGTGGTGAAGTATGCTCAAACATTCCCCACAACTGATATGTCAATAGCAGGCCATTACTCGGCAGTGGCTTGATACCATCTGTGAATGTTGTTTATCAGGACTAGATGAGCAAGAAGCCATTGAGAAGAAAAATCATTGATGGTTGATATCGGATAAATGATGTGGATCGAGTACAGTACTGTATATGGTTGTGTGGGTGCGGTTGTGTTCTTTTATGGGTATGGGTGTGTTCTGGATGCATGCGATTGACGTTTTTATATCCTGTATTTAATTAACTGGGAGAGGCTATGAAACCATTGAGACGGATTAAACAGCATTGCCTCTTTTGCAAGGGCGATCTGGGTCTGTTGGTGTGCGTGGTGTCTGCGAAATAGCCTGTGATATGTCTTGACGGTTCTGTGTGTGATGTGCCCATGTTCAATATCCGCGATGAGCCTGTGTGAGATGAAACTGAGCGACAGGGTTTTGCAGGGTGTGCGTGGCAATGCGTTTAAATGCGTGGTGTGCGTGTGCACATCCGTGATTTTTTTCGTGTGCGATTTCGGCTTTGTGCTAGACGTGCGTCTCCTTTCTGTCCATGGGTCCGGTGATGTCTTGCGTGGCGAGTGC